GTAGATGTCCATAACCAGTGCTTGAATAAACAAACACATGGATAAAACTGCAAAGATACTATAACATCTAAAACATGCTAAAATAATTTTCCTATGGTCCTCTGAAAATTTTTATTCTAATGTATTTTTTAATACAATACTAGCAATACATAAGTATATATTATTCTAATAAAATGAAAACTCCATCCACATCTCCCATTGCTATTATCTCAATTTCCCTGACTTAAAATGGAAAAGATGTTCCTTAGTCCCTCGTACATAATAGCTACACTTGGAGAAAAAGTCTGGGTTTTGTTACCCTGGTCATGTGATTTTGGGCAGATTACTTAAAACACTTGGAACCATAACAGAACATGATATATGTCAGATAAACAGTGATGGCCTTATAAAACACAGCCAGCCTGAATTTGGGATTCCAGGTGGGATTCCCTGGAGTAACTTCAAAGGAGAGGCTGTGTCTAGTTTATTGAGCTGAGTCTTTTATGGATAGAGTAGAGCGGTTAGTGCGATAGGCTTAGGTGAGGTGACATAAAGGGGTCATGAGACTGGGGGAGCAAGAATGGCTGACTATGTGGCTGTAACAACCAGCGCTGTGACCTTACAGGTGGGGCAGATGTGCCCTGTCCTAGCAGAATAGCATTGTTCCCTGGTCCAGGTAGCTGTGAGTCAGTCATTCTAGGAACTTGAGTATCTGGGGGGGGGGGGGGACAGGGGTCAGGCCTATCAGTATAAAATTGGAGAAATAGGGTAACTGCTTTACAGAAGTGCTATGAGAATTTAACTAAATTTTCCACTTTAAAAATAGCACTAATGGGTTGGCAACATAGCTCAGTGGCACAGTGCTTACCTGGCAAGTGCGAGGCCCTAGTCCAATTCCCAGTACCAAAAAAGAAAATAGATTTTTGAAAAAGACCAAAATAAAAGCTCCTTTTAAAAAATAGCACTAATATACCACATACAATATACCCCAGAGAACATTGTCTATGACAACAGTAATGTAGTTGATAGTCATGATGGTTACTATTTGTTTTACTTAGTTTTGCTTTTGTTCTGGCCTTTTAGATAAAAATCCTAGGCAAAAAGCCAGTCTTCCCTTTTCTCTTCCCTATGCCAAGAACCACACCTAAGCTCTCTGTGTCTTCTGGCCATATGACTGTATGAGTGTTTTGGACACTGCTCTGAGGTTTTCCTCATGCATGATTTGGAGGAGGTAATAGATTTGTCTAGCATGAGTATCCTTTGCTTTCAGGCTAATTACAATCTATCAGGCATACAAATTTCAGCACAGAGGTATGACAAGTCTCTGATGTCTGAATATAAGACTTCTGTCTCCCTTCATTCCATATTGTTCTCCAGCTTTTATTCTAGCATGCATGCCAGGGGAGAAGAAAATTCTGTGGTGCCAAGAATAAAGATTCCACAAGGTTGCCAGAGCACAGAGGCTTCCCAGGTATAAAACAATGGAATTTTCCTCCAACAACTGCATCTTTGAGTCTAGTTTTCCCCCTGAAAGACAAGTTCAAATAGAGCTCACCCAGAAGAGCCACAGAAAATCCTCACAGAAAAACTGACCCTAAGGCAAAAGTTAAACTTGCCAAGGAAGCTAATGTTTGCTCATGTAGGCAGATGGTGGTCAGCCTGGAAAATGGTAGATCACTGTCTACCATTGATCTACCACACTGACGCACAGAACCACACTTAACAGTCTCATCCCACCTTTCCACCAAGAACACGCCACCTCTATGCTGTCTCACAAGACACTAGTCTTACAGTTTGGATGCAAAATCATACATTATTTGATGTGCATAATTTTCAACATGGAGTCCCTTTTCTATGGCCCAATGAACATTTATTGAATGTGTCAAATCATTTACTAAAAGTTTTGCATCTTTTATTTCATTTATTTCTAAAATGTATTACTCTAGAATAGGTAACACCTTGCTCATTTTATGGATGAGAAAACCAGACTTAGCAAAGGCAAATAATTTTCCAAAGAACATGGTCACTAAGAAGTGAAGAAGAGCCGGGCATGGTGGTGCACACCTGTAATCTCAGCACTCAGGAGGCAGAGGCAGGAGGATCACTGTGGGTCTGAGGTCAGCCTGGGCTACAAAGTGAGTTCAAAGTCAGCCTAAACTGCACAGTGAAACCCTGTCTCAAAAAGACAGAAAAAAAAAATAAAAACAATGAGTAGGAGAAACATTATATTAAGAACAGCCTCCTTAGGCTCTCAAAAAGTAAGACTCATAATTTATGTATACAACATACATAAATTATACATACTATACAAGGGCAGGTGGCAAGGTATGCAAATAGGCATATGACATGTAACAAGTGATTTACTATAAATAATAAAATTTAAGTACATAAGATGGGGACATTTTATTAGGAAAATATGAAAATTAAAGTGATTATTAGAAACTGTAAGATAAAAAATTTTGTTCAAGAGAAGGATAGCATTCTCATCTGTCTTGCAGAATATGATTCCTGAGGTTTGCATCAGGCAAGCCTGCTTACCAAGCAGAGTAGAACATGGATTTTACATCCAAAGCCTAGTATTCAACCTGGCTGTGCCATTAACAGGAGAAAACCTTTTCCCTTGGGTGTCTTCAACTATAAAAAAAAATATTTAAGCTAGGCCAGTGGTTTCCAAATATTGGCATGTGATAGACTTTTTATCCATCTGTGATAATATAAGAAATCAACAAGGAACTTATTTGTGTAGTTTAACTCATTTATTTTACAAATCTGCTAAAATCATTTGCTCTTATAAATTATGGGATTTCCTTTCACTTTGAGTACCCTCACATGACAAAATTCAAGTATAACCCCATAATGCAATCCTTATATTAAAATATGTATACATTCATATTAGTCTAAAAATCCAAAGTCCTTGGAACCACTGGACTAGGTAATCAAAACTCTATCCTCTTTTGAAGTGGCAAATAGTATTTAACTAACTTTAAAGTTAGAAAGTATTTTTAAAAAGCCTTTTATCCTCTTTCTTCTTTTTTTTAAGCCCAGTATTTCTTCAAATCTGCTCTGTGACACACAAATCCCTTTAAAATGTTGTAACTTTTGCAGCAAAAGGGGATTCTCAATCAAATGAGTCTGGAGAATAATGAGTAAACAGATTGAACAATTTTCATTACTGAGAAATATTCAGAAGCCATAAAATTCTGACATCTATGGTAACTCTGCTCCCAAAATAAACCAGTCAAATGTCCCCCAACATTACTGGCGAAAGCAATTGTTTATTACCACTACCTGAGCACCACCGTACTACAGTACACCTAATTCCTGAAACATAGTTTGAGAAAGGTGACTTAAACTAACAGAAAGTTTTTCATAATAAAGAGAAAATGTACTGTTAAAAACAAAGGAACTTGTCATTTATTTGTATAATTATTATAATTTGGTGTGTTATTTCAAATTTCCAGAACTATATGCACTTTTAAATCTACAAAAGAAGCAAAGATGAAACACTTCAGTTCAAAGTGCAATGACATAGACACAATTTATGGCCATCTTTGACAACTACATAGTTGATTTTTTCTTTACCATTACAAAAAAGGCAAATTGCGTTGAGACATCTGTTTTCAGTGATTGCAACATGATAATTAAAGCACTTGGAATTTGCAGAAGTTTGCACTAACCAAACTTTGGCTATTATCCCATAAACAGTGAAGGCAAAGTAAAATCAAATAATCTACAGGTACTGAAACAGAAAAACCCCAGACTCCTCTCAAATGGTACGTTGCGGTTTAAATATTTCAATGTGAACAATTAATTCTGAATGTTTGTGGCTCACAATTTATTTAAATCGCTTTAGTATAATCAAGGAAATTCTTGAGAGAAGGAAAAAATGTAATAGTTTGTTTTTCTTTTTCTTTGCATAATTGTTTGAGCAAAGTCAAGAAGTTTATTTAGCCTTTTTTATTGCTTTTCACATCATCACGTGAAATGTCATCTAGCCAAATGCTTCAGCTCTCACATCTTGGATTTAAATTTCACTTTACCCAGTGAGAAAAGAACAGTTTTCACTTGAGACAAGATGATCCGAAATGAACTATCCAGAGAGAAAAGCTACCAGTGACCTTTTCACTATTCAGACACTAACAACTTTCCTTCCTGACTCAATGCATACTAGGTTTTTGACAAGCTAGTGGCTCTATATTACCTCCAATATTTTCCATCATAACTGTACCGTAAATTCCAGCCTGTTTTTCATAATCCTGATGACTACAGCAGTCTGCAGCCATAAAAAGCCTTGCAGACCTAGAGTTGGCTTAGAAAAGTATCTCTGCAAAGAAACAAAAGTACTTGTAACATTTACATTTAAAGACAGGAGAAGGGCAAGAGCCTCTTGCTTTCTTGCTGGTGGTCTCAAGGGGGGTGTTTTAGGGTCTAAAGTTAGAAATTTTATTTTCTTCTAGTGAAATTTATAGATAAGAAATCCCAACACAAAAATAAGAGCAATTTAACTAGTTGAAGGGGGAGTGTCCTCTTAGCAGATGAGAGCTGTTTGGAACTCCACAGCATCTACTGCTTAGCTCTGACAGAACTTTGGTCCGACCTGTCTCAACTCCTCAGCCTCACGCTCCACAGGTATGTTTGAGGTTTATGTCAAGGATTCCAGGTTTCAGATTTAGCTTCCTTTAACCCACAAGTAACCTTAGTTCTAGTTTCCTTTCTGGGAATAAAAGATAAAAAAGCAAACAACTTTTTAACAAACGACAGTGTCCATTTACACTATTTCAGGTTCCTATGAACATAGCAAGAAATTGGTTTTCATTTCTGGAGTAAAGAGCTGAAACGTAAAAGTATGTAAGAGGGTAGGGGTAAAAGCTTAAGCAATCCCTTCACACATTCGAGCTTCGACTTTCTACAAATTAACCCTATTCCCCCCACATGATTAAACAGATTATATTTAGTATCAACAGTTAAAAACAAGTCTCTCTTAAAATTAGTTTTAAAACATAAACATCAGGGCTACTTGCCTTTTGGCAATTTCTGTGCATTTCCCAGGGCAAGTGCAATACTTCCACAGAGAAGTAAACACCCCAAGCTGGAGAGCATGTTGCATTTGCCACCTCTCACGGGGAGTGATGCTGGTGGGTGCCTCACAACACTGGAGCTGCATTTAAGTGGACTGTCTTCCAGTGACAGAGGCGGGCTCCTGCACTTCGCTGTGCTGTGGGCTTACTCACAGGGGGTGGAGACAAGATGACATCACAGCCTTACACACACACACACACACACACACACACACACACACACACACAGGCGCAACAGCAAAACCACACATCACATTTCCCTCTGTGGAGTTGTAACTATCTCTTTTCTTTGTTCTGTAATATAAAGATTAAAGTTATGGCCAATCTGCATTATGAAAGAAAAAGTAAGCAATTTTAAAACATTTGATGAATCGTTTTAAAGCAACTGGAAAATATATACTTAAAACCATCAGACCATTAAGAACATAAAATGAAACGTTAGTAGGAAGGAAACTTAAATTATCTAGTAAATCAATCTAGTTCTTTTAAATGAGTGCAAACTCAGAAAATACTTTGAACTATGCTACAGCTCCAATATTATGACAATCATTTAAGAGCAAGTTCTAGGCTTGCATGGAAAATATGTGCATACATATATTTTGTAGATATAGATATAAAGACATCTATACAGTGCTCTTGTCATTTCAGCTCTGCTCTGGGCTGGGCCCTACAATAGCATTTGATGTTGTGATTGTACAGGTGCTGTGGTGTTATCCCCATTTTATTAGTGAGAAAAACTAGAGCTTACCAAGTGTGCTAACCAAGTTAGTAGAGTTTAATGACTAATAATTTAAATGGGTTTGGAATAGAACAAATTGAGTTTTAAATTTTGATTTTACTTATCTGCAAGGTGCCCTTGAACATAACTCTTCATCATATTATTGATTTCAATTTAGTGCCTGCTGCATGTCAGATATAGACCTTATTGGTTTGCACACAGTAAGATATTTATTTCTCAGAATGACAAATGAGAAAGGCATTGTCCTCAGTCTCATTTTACTAGTAGAAAAACTGAGCTCCGAGAAGTAAAATCAAATGTCCAAGGTCACAACGCTAATAAGCAACACAGATGGCATTTCAACTGGTTATTTAAGCCCAGAACTTCTGCTCTTAATTACTAAACTTTAAATTTTTAAATAGATATGGTAGTGCCAATTTCATAGATTTGCTAGCAGAAGTTTTAGAAAATATTTCCTATAATGTCTGGCACACAGGAAAAATTTACTAAAATGGCAGTTGCAGAAAACAATAATAAATGACAGCAGCAAAGCTCTCAAGTAAATAAAATAAGATTCTAATCTGGTGTATTTACCTCCACAGTGCACGTGCATGCCCTCTCCCCCTGCATCACATTGCCCCAAATATAGACACACTGCTGGAATGCCTGGTTAATAAAGTGCTTTAAATGTTGTTTGTAAATTTATATTGACTCTAAAACTAATTTATTTCACAGGGTTGCTAATGGCTGAACAAAAACCAGTAAGAGATAAATAATACTGGTTGAGCAAAATACTAGGTAGAAAATTGACTAGAAGAAAGAATTGAAGAGACAACCTGTCTCCCAAATAAAGTGTGAGGAGGCACATTGTTAAAGTCATTTAGAGCTGGCCTGGACTACGCTCTCACCATAGGAATGTTCTGGCACTGACGATGGAAGGGACTGGGTTATTTAACAGGTCTTTTTCATTTCTGATTTTCTACTTGAATAGGCAGCTCCATCAAACCCAGGTTTGGACAGACTTCCAACTAGCCCTGCGGGTTCTGCTTCTATGTGCCATTACCGTCAAATTAAGCCAGTGAGGCCACAGTGTTAGGAAACAGCAGATTTTCTGAGGGAACAAATCCAGCAGAAGTGTAGAAAGGAAGCCTAGTTCTTCAAAACTGTGAAAGGCTGCTGCAAGGTAATGGAATTCAGAAATCAGCCTCTGCATGACCAGCAAACGAAGTCCAATCCACATTAACAGCTGATATTAATAGTTTGGAACCAAATGGAAGCTAATTAAATGAAGGCAAATCCTTGACTGTGTTGTGAGGAAAAGAAGATTGCATTGCCTTACCTAGTAGGACAAATGAAGTGAAGATCAGTGAAGACCACGATCAGTGAAGATCGTGATAGTGTTAAAGCTCTCCTCGAGCCAAGGAGAAGTAGTAACTTGAAGAAAGGAATCATTTCAAAGAGGACATTTCACTTTCTCAAAGTACAAGAAGCCCTCTGTTACGTTAGAGTCCTAACCCAGACAAGAGGTACACAGATTCTCCAGAAGAGCTATAAGTGCTTTCTTACATGGAATAATCTTCAGGGCTTTGTTCACACAATGAGTGGAGGATTCTATGATATTCTCAAGAACAAACTGACCTCTGACTAGGAGCATATTGGAGATGATGACTATAGAATAATTCATGCACCCCTGTTAAGTTTCTCAGTTTCATTAGAGAAGGTTGTCCCTAGCCTTGTTTAAATTTGTCTGTAGGCACAGTGCCTCATTTATTTGGAAATGCTAAACTCCAGATACTTGTGGAATTTAGACTACTGAATTGTCATCAACACTTGTGAAAACACTAGAAAAAACACTTAGAAAAACCGCTTGAAAAGCACAGGAAATATATGTATGCATCTGTAATCGTTTGTAAAGACAGGGACTATGCCTCATTTGTTTATGACTGCCATTGTCTAGAATTTAAGAATGTACATGAGGAGTGAGTACCAAAGTAGACACATTCCATCAATTCTTGCAAACAGCCTAAAAGTTAGTCTTAAATTAATCCCCCAAATAAGTTTGAGTATGACCTAGAATGTAGTTGCTGGGAAACACCTCACGAACGGTCTCTAGCGTTTCTGTACCATCTTATGAGCAGAGGCACTGATTCCCTATGATCCAGGGGATATTTTCAAAAATACTTGCAATGCAAATAATCTTGAAAAATAGAACTTCGTTGGCTAATTCATATAACAGAGCTAATATCTCTCTCTGGGGCAAAGAGAATGCATGATCACTTCCCATCATAAAAGATTCAAGTTTTCTAAGCTTAGTGTTCTTTTCCTATAACACAATCCATGGCATATGCAAGTATCAGCTGTAACTCTCTGTGTTGCTCTGTAGGAACTGGGATGTTCGATAGGGATACAAATACCAATATTGAGGACACTGAGCAATGTAATAAACTGTCCTTTGTCCTTAATACAAGAGTCTGGTGTCCCAGGAAAGCATCCATGAACAGTAAATATTAGTTTGCTCATAGGATAAAATCTCAGGCCCTTAAAACTATCTATTATAGATGGTTGTAGTAAGTACTTTTTTTTTGTACCAGGGATCAAACTCACGACCTTGCACTTATCAGACAAGGGCTTGAGCCACTGAGCTAAAATCCCCTGCCCTAGTAAGTACGTTTTATATAATATCTACATTGAAGTCCACTCTAAGAACCAGTCATGAAATGCTTATGCATAGTAAGAATGTTGTTTGACATGATTTATTAACTCACCTACTATTTTCTTCACTGTATAGTAGGAAAAAAATCTGGTTGTTGATTGAGTCCAAAAAAAAGTTGTGATTCTTTTTCTGAGCAGTTGTACTTAATTTTATGACACTGTAACTAGCTTTCTTTTTCTCTGTAGATTGTTAGAAAACCAGAGCTACAGGAACCTCCCACTAATATTAAATCTTAGTGATGTGCATTTTTGACATCATTCTTGGCCTTAGTTTTCATCTCCACCCTTATTTCTTGCTTATTTGACTTGGAGTCTTAATTTATGTGATTTGGTAAGTTGCTTTAATTTGCTTCTGGAACAAGGTGAAGTAAACCAAACAAACCCCATGCTCAGGAGCTGTGTCAAAAATAAGTGTCAGAATGTGAAATGGGACTCTGGGAACCTGTTCTCTTTCTTTTTTCTTTTTATTTCTTTTTTTTTTTCTTTCTTTTTTTTTTTTTTTACAAACAGTAGATTCTAATGGAATTTTGGCACAATAATCATGCAGCAATCATGTAACATTATCTATATATAGAGAGGACATTTCGAACCCCACTCTAAGGGTCTTATTTTCAGTCATTTCAGATTTGAGTTCTAAGTATAAACAATTAATTTCATTATTTCCAAATATGATCCCATTAAACATATGTCTTTCAAACCTTGAAAGTAAACTCTGTGTAATCATTTTACCTATTGGCCCAGATTTTTAGTCTCTAGTATGTTAGGAATTACATCGGAGACTTGTATATTTTCAATTAATAACATGCAAAAGTATGCTTTGGTTTTCTGGGGGATGCTAATAAAAATAACTTTAATATGACTCATATCTGAAATGGGAAAACTAGTGCTTCATGTTTTCAACCCAAAACTTGTTTCTATAATTGCTGTGCCGAAATAGACTCACGATCCAACTGGACAAGTATCCTGTTCCAATGAGGGTGCATTTGGCAGGAGTGTGAACCTGTCTTCCACAATGATTTTTATAGTACAGGAAAGGATTGCTCCTTAAGTGCCCAAGTTATGTTTGCAGACAGTCCTTAGTCAGTGTAAAGGCATCTTGAACTCTAGTTTTTGGCTTCATTACCTTGAAGTAATTAGCAACTTGTGCTTATAAAAAGTTTAAAGATTACTTTCTGTTAGTCTAGAGACAAGCTTCTTTAAGATCTCAGTTGTACATCTTTAAACTGTAAGTTTTATCTTCTGCCCTAGTCCATTTTCCGTTACACCAACAAAATGTTCAAAACTGGGTAACTTTTAAAGAACAGAAATGCATTTCCTACAATTCTGGAGGCCAATGGAGTCTCCAACTGTCAAAGGCCTTCTTGCTGCATTGTAACAAAATGGAACGTGGGGAGCACTGAAGAGTGAGAGAACAAGAGGAAAATGGATCCATTTTTATAAAAAGTTTATTCTCATGATAATTAAGTCAGTCTCATGGTATCAATGCTAACTCTTTCATGAGCAGAGCCCTCATGATGCAGTCCATCTCTTGTTCAACCCCATCTCCTAACACTGCTGCACTGGGGAATAAGTTTCTAACCCATGAAGTTTGGAGATCATATTCAAAACACAGCACCTTCCTTGTTTTGTCTAAATTCTCTTCCTCTGCAGAGGTGCTGAATACCTACCTGGACATATGTAATTGGAAGGAATGTGTTTCA